ATTTATTTAACTTAGTTTATGTAACATTAAAATATTCTTATTTGCTGTTGACGATTTTTAGCTGGTTGAGATTACTTGTGTAATGAATGTTAATTAGCATACAAAATATAATAAGCCATGGTATTAATACATGCACTTGTATATCAATAAAATGTAAATATAATTATAATGTATTCATAGATTAGACACAAATTTGAGTACAATTACGAGAGTTTTGTTTCGTAAATTAGGGATTCAAAGGATTATACAAAACTACAATTTTGTAAATATTAAAAATGTGTGTTTATCAATATATTACAGTTATTTGACTTTATATTTAATTAATATTGTTTGTCATAATTAAGTTTAAAAAATAAGTTTAAAACAAATTTATTGTCACTTTTATAACTGTAAAACTAGATTTAATATAATTTAAACTGTGAAATAATTGACTGTTTTATCCATTTGTTAAAAACAGATCAAATGTAATGTTAATTGCGTTCACAATCGGAAGTGCATTACTTGGTCTCAGTTTCATAATAACAATGTCCTCTCAATACGACAAAAGTCCATATTTTGTGAAACAATTATCGCTAATATTAGAGGAAAGGCGTACAGTTAGGCATTGCCTTTGTTTGGCTGTCATCGCCATTATATTCATCGCATGCCTGTCCACTATGGTATGTATTGAAACCCCATATATTTACTCATATTTCTAACACAATTAACAATTGAATCAATTAGCCAATTAAATAGGTTACCAATATAACTTATACAAAGAAAGCTATTATAATATTAAAAATCAATATATTGGAATAATTTTTTATAGTGTTTGAAATGTAGCTAGTTTGTTTCATCTATTTTACAATATTAATAAAACATAAACTTAATGTTTTGAATTTAGACAGCACTATATATTTTTTAACCACTGATTAGTATATAATTAAGTTCTTAATTAATAATATGATAATAACTTGTAATGAATAGTTTATATGCGATCGCACAACAAATATGTTGAGCGCAAACATGACGGGCTCGCCATCGCCTGACAGCTACGAGTGCTTCTATCCTCAGGTAATTCACAGATTTATGATCGATATAACAGTGCTTTGAATTGCAATGCAATGTGAGTCTCATTATAAATAATAATATATATTCTTAATGGTAAATATAAGTCAAAATAAGAAGCAAGACTTTAAGCCTTCTTTATGTCACAAAGTCATACACTTTAAATCAAAATACAGGAAAATAACAAATCATTTATGAATTACAAAAATATCTTCATAAAGAATAAAGGAAAAGCTTTGTTGTGAAGTAAACAAGCAATCAGTTTCTCTCGTATGGTAACAGATTTCACAAAATACGAAATACGGTACTCATAAAATATTTAATAAAAGTAGTTTTAAACGTCAAATAACTATGTTGAATATAAACATTTATAATAGGCTTAAACTTTGCATTGCATTGCGTTATGAGATAATATGACGAGAATATTCTTTATAAAATGTGATTAAAAGTTGTGATATCTAAATATTATACCGTATATTGAATTTGCAGTACTTTGTGTTTTGTTGGATCCTAACAATGATAGCTTCGGCAGCGTTTCTAAAGCTGTCATATTTGCTCAAATTCATTATCCTGTCTGCTATGGCAACCATTTATCTAATTCTCGTCGAATTGGTCTTCAATAATGTCTTCTCGAGGAGTCAGAGCTGCGGAATGTCTATGCAATACGACGGGTGAGTCCTCTCATTACACTTCCCATTAGACCCGACCAACCAATACATAACTTACATCTTATGTTCTCTATTAGTATGCATTGAAAATATATTTATATAAATATGTGTGATTTGTTTGCTCATAACCTTCACATTTATTAGACCTCTGTCTTAATATAAAGTATATTAGATTTCTGCTATACTTTATATAATATTTTTCGCTATATATTTTATATCCAGTTTATGAGACTAATGAAAATATGTTTATTTATAATGCAATTTGTTTTGGGACTTATAGTACTTTCTGCTGAGTTTGTGTAAATGTAAGATATATTTTTGCCATTTATTATAGTATATAAGAGTGAATTAAATTAACTTCAATTTGGAGACATCTTCGTGTATTGGATACTCACGAGTCTCTGAATATTAAATAAACACTTACAACATCTGAATGCAAAGAATTACATTAAATCTCTGTAATTGACATTTTAAAAATATATGTCCATTTATATGTGGATTACTGTTTACATCATTTGCTTTCATTAATCTTATTGAAGACGTCGAACACTTCAGCACTTGTCTACAAATATATTATACGTATATAGCAATAATTCTGTACATAAATATTTGATAATTCCGTATTAATGTGTTCAATACATTTCTTACATTACATTATATTATTTTTCTTATTATAAATCAACAAAGAATGATAGCATATAATAAAGTAATTTATTTACAAATAATATAGTAGTGTTGATCTCTGCCTATAATATACTAGTTATGAGAAGTGAATACAAAAAACTGTCTCCAGTTATAACATCTAATTGACGTAACATAACAAATACGAGCGCCTGACCACTAGCTGGACGTGAGCCACACTTTAACAATATTTAATACAACAATAGTGTATATCTTTAACATAACTCTGCCATTAGGTTACAGTACACTCCCGTATAAGTTGTACTTTCAGTAGACAAGACTTGATATTACAATAAAGCAATAAAATAAAAGGCATTATATTTGATATACCGATTCAAAGACAGATATTGTCTAAGATTTCTATACTATTCTGCACTGAATATACAACGAATGCAAATAAGATAACAGAAAATGCATTTATTATGCGATCGTTGTATAGCTTATAAGGAAATTAAAACGAAAGAAAAACTATTTTCTTATACAATGACTATATTCTGTATATTTAATAAACGGAATATAATTTATTTGAATTAACTCTCATTTGTTTGCAATTATGTGTAATCCTACGGAGTTTACCTATGAGTGACAACTATTGGCCAAATTGCTTGTGAATTCACACGAATTATTGATTTTAATTAAATTCTTCCTATTATTTTGAAAACCATGTTTTGTCAAACTTATAACGTTTTTGCAGATGAATAACTTGTAAACAAAATTTGTTTATTTAATCCCAATATAACAATATCATTAAATAGTATTTAATAAATATTGAACCACTTTATAATGTTAAATGTAATATTAGCTAATTCAATTTCTAACGAAATTGAAACAAGTATTAAGTATTCAAATAAGCGTTAATGACAATTGCATATAATCTAGATAAAAACATAATTATGTTAATAACTAATATTGACGGTTTTAAACATATAAATTTGAGTTTTTCAATATTGATACTTCTTATATTATAATCACTTAAATAACAACTAAATTGTACATTTTATTTTATATAAAGTATATTTATATTATAAAACTATATATAAAACGGTATATTTATTCTTAAATTCTTTAGTAAAGAATTCACTGTAAATACATTATAAAACAAAAATATGGAATTTCCTAATATGATATGAGAGCATATTTAGTAAAGAATTTGATAACAATTTGCTCAAATTGTAAATTGGTTATTAAATTCTTGGTCTTTTCATAAAATGTTAATATTTTTAATTAAAATTAAGTCTTTTGACAAAATTATATTGAATTCCATAAATATTTCGTAAACTAAACTAAACAACAACTTTATACATGTATGTAATGTTTATACATGTACTTTACGTTATATACA